GCGTCTCCAGAAGGGGGTCCGGATCCAGTCCGGGTCCAGCCTTTCCAAAAGGGGGTCCAGCCTCTCCAGAAGGGGGTCCAGCCTCTCCAGAAGGGGGTCCAGCCCCTCTAGTTGGGGTCCAGGTCCAGCCAGGAGTCCAGGACTAGCCGGGACACCAGCTGGGTCTCCAGTCCGGATCCGGTCCGGGTCCAGCGTCTCCAGAAGGGGGTCCAGGTCCAGTCCGGGTCCAGCCTCTCCAGAAGGGGGTCTAGTCCCTCTATCCGGGGTCCAGGTCCAGCCAGGAGTCCAGGACTAGCCGGAAACCAGCCGGTTCTCCAGTCCGGGTCTCCAGCCGGATCCGGTCTTGGTCCAGTCCGGGTGTTGGAACAGGTGAGACGGCCCTTAATTGGGGGGGGGTTCTGGGTTTACAGGTTGGACATCAAAGCTGCCCTCAAAATTAATTTAACCCTTTAAAGTCTGATCCAAGAAAAAAACAAAACAGAAAATGACTTTTTTTGGGTTTGAAGTCTTTATTTGGCCTTTTAACAAAATATTTAAAAAGAAAAAACAGAAATACATTTTTAATATTAATAATATTATTAATAGTTTTGTGTATCTTCTGCCCCCTGTTATCAGGTGTATCTGATTGTGTACAATAGGATTTTGAACAAAGTTTTTACCATTAAATTATACAAAAGGAGTTTCAGAAACCATATGAATCAGATATGATACATTTGGCATTACAGGGTTAAAAGCCGCTAAAATCTTATTTATCAAATAACTTCATTTATAAATAACTTTTTCTTTTTCTGGGTTCTGTTTTATTTGGGGTGTTTTTGACTGATCCGGTAAAAGGGGGCGTGGTCACCGGCCAACCAATGAACCTCTTGCGTTTTGAATAAATTAACCTGGCTGTGGGCGGGGCTTGTTCGGCCAATCAGAGCAAACCCTGCTTTGTTTGGGGGATCAGGAAAATGAGAAGTTAACTGAATCTGGGCTGTTATTTCTTTATCTGAAGCCTAAAGAATACTGAAACGCGTAATTTATTTAGTTCTAAAGTAGAAAAATGCAGCACTGTTCCTGGTTTGGAAGCTCTGAGCACATTTATTTACAGAAATCCTCTTAAGTTAAAGAAAAATAGAAGAGCAAAGGCTGCAAATCAGGATCCAAATGTCCATCTGAAACACGAAAGTCCTGTTAAACTGAGTGAAAACATCATTTTAAAACCAGAAAAATCCCCCAAAATGTCTTTAAAATGCCAAAAATCTCTCCACCCTGTTTAAAAATATAAGCAGAAACCTGCAAATCAGGATTTAGCTAGATACTAGCAGCAGCTAACAGCAGCTAGCAACACATAGCAGCAAAAACTAGCAGCTAGCAATAGATAGCTGCAGCTAGCAGCAGCTATCAGCAGATACTAGCAGCAGATGCTAGCAGCTAACAGCAGATACTAGCAGCTAGCAGAAGATAGTAGCAGCTAGCAGAAGATACTAGCAGCTAGCAGCAGATACTAGCAGC